AGGCATCTTCCAGAATGATGTGACTAATAACTCCAAATTTAAATTAAGAGTAAAACTACTATACTATTTAAGTGCTCCTACCTCTGGCCACCTGCACAGATGACAATTTCAAGTGCCTCCTATAAATCTAGTCCCCAGTTTCAGTTTCCTAAGGTGTCACAGGTGCCTGCAAAGGAAATCTCTTTATATGAAACAGAGGATAAATGCAGTGTTTCCTGTGTGGCCTACTAAGGGCAGCACCAAATTCAGCTCTCCTTTAAGAAACATCACTTTATTGACTTCTCAGTGGAAATGATGCAGCTTTGGCACTGACACTGGGTGCATATTCTACTGTCCCAGCTGGTGCTGTGGGGATAGGGTTGAAAGGCAACATTAGTGTTCTTCACTTAATCAGTACTTGTGATGTAAGCAGGTTTGATGAGTTAGTTGATATGTCAACTGCCTGTGTGGGAGTTGGTGTCAGTGTTTTCCATGGTTCTGCTTTGCAGAAGTTGTGTCCAGTGGAGTAGCTGAGAGATAAGGAGATCAATAGATGTATTTGCATTGTTTGGTTCACTTTTGTGTTTTAAAATGTAGTGCAAATCCAAACTCAAACTGTGTGTACCAGATTTACAATCAGTGGAAATGAATTGAATTTGTTAACTTTTCTTTCTGGTCGATATTTAAACATGGTTACATTTCCTGGCAGCTTAGCAGCCCAAGGCAGAGAATAGCAACAGCACCAGTGCTAGCTAAAGTAACACTTCCAGTATCTTTCCTTATCCCTTGCTTAAGGGATGCATTTTTTGAGGTTGCTAACTGTGAGGGCACTTCAATGTAACATTTAGGCCATTTCTTGTTTTTATTTTATTTTCTTCTCCTGTTGTCCCTTTGGCAAGGAGCCTGTGTGACTTGTGTGCCCAGTGTGAGGCTGCTGTTGCAGGGAGAGCTGGAAGCACACTGGGGCAGGGCCAGAGCAGTGCCTGGATTTTAGCTGAGGTGGGGAACTGCTTGACTGACCCTCTGAAATACCCTGATAAGAAAGTGGTTTTTTGCCCAGGAAACTTACTGCCCACAGGGATGGATCTGGCAAGTAGTTAATAACACGAAGCACTGTTATTCATTGCTCTACACACAGATTCAGAGAGCATCATTTGTATTGCCTGCCTTAGGTCATCTTCTGTTGCCCTGAGTGACCCTAGTGAAAACAGCTCCTGCTACCACTCTCCCGTGACTGAGTCCTTTCAGCTCATGGAGGAAAGAATAAATTTCCTAGATTAGAAGCCAGAATATTACAGCAGAATTTAGTCCACCTGTCTGTGGAAGGATGGCTGTAGTTCTCTGACTCTGCATGTGGCCTGAACACACTCTCTCACTTTGTGTGTAAGTGCACCTATGTGTCACTAAATATGTGCTAGCACCAACAGCTTAGCATGCACAGTGCTCATCACCACACAGTGCTTTAGTTACAAAGCCAGGCAATTGTTTTGGATC